ACTCTAATTAGTAATTAATAAAATGCGAAATTGTCTCAAAATTTTTCTATAATGATAGATATACCTACTTTTACTTTTGAATAGCGATTATTTCTAGGATGATATATATACTCCTAGTAATGAGTATGAAGCCAGGAAAGGAGAGAGGAAGAAATAAAGAGCCAAGATAGAGAGAGGAGAAAGGAAAAGAGAAACTTCTTGTATTAACAACTCTTTTTTGCACCTTTTTAAGTGATGTTTTATTATTTTCACAACTAAATTAGTCTAATCAACTCCCTTTAAGCTTTTCTATTTCAATAAGACAACAACTACAGCAATGATACGGTATTGCTGTGCCGTCGGCTATTGGACGCTGTAAGTAACTGATGATTGTGACGCTCCGCCTTCGAAATCACTTGATGGTTGTACTGATTTGGATAAGTTGCTGCTTGATTTCCTGATTTCCTTTTTTCTTTTTAAACCGCTATATTACGAGAGTGTCTGTCAGTCAAATTTGCTATTCCGGGTCTTCAGTAAAGTCAATAATGGGTTCATTATCTGGTTACTATCATCGGACAGAAGCATGTCATCCTCAGTGATCGGGTAGTTTTGATAATTGTGATATTCAAATGGGGAACTTGTGAAATTCTCAACTAATTTCATCTAATTTATAGGAGAAGGTTATTTCTTACCAAATACAAAAACTATTGAAAATTTTATCAAATTTCTTCGGAATTGTATTCATTTTAAGTTTAAAATTTTCTTCTTTTCTGTTCGATTCAAATTGATGGAATGTCAACTTGCTATGACATTTTATGATAAAGCATATTACAGTACTATTAGCACGCAGTAATTTCACCCGCTATTTACAGACTATCTGCACTATTTTCATTCTCCAAACAGTTGAAATAGTCTCAAAGAGTCGAAATAACTCCGTTACATTCTTTTTCCTTTTAACAAATTCTATTACACTTTTATTTTCATTTGTTAATTTCACATTGCTTTTTCATGATCTAATTCCAGAAATTTATTTGTGCTATTACTTAAGCTTGATAATTGATTTTTATTTTAAATCTTTTTAGACCGTTCTCTTTTGAGATCCTAAATTAAATAAGTAATTTTTATGTATCGAATAAATGAGAAATGCCTGTTTTATATGCATTACACGACGATTTTTAATGTCATCGCAATTAAAAATTCAAATCAATTTCAAAAGACAGAAAACTAAGTGTTAACGAGTATTTTCTCTCTTTTCACTTTATCCACTTTTCAGCTATACTTTGCATATAATAGGTATTCAGTTTAGTAACATTTCAACAAGTCAAATAGTGAAATAAAATTGACCAATTGGTTACTTCTATTTTAGTGTGCAAAAATTGAGAAAAATTACTTCAGTTTTGGTAATTTCCAAAGATTTGTATGCACAAGTAAAAATACTTGTAGGAATTGTTATTTTCATTTCCTGAGTGCAGAGAAAATATGCCGGAAAACGTCATTTATATCTCGGATTGTCGTTTTAAAAAGTTCCGGAAACCAGAATAAATATATTTTGCACTTTTTTTTATATGGTGTATACATAAAACGCTTTCCTGAAATCATTTCGCTATTTGTTTCGGATAGTACCAATGATAACTGTGCATTAAGGGGAATTGTTCGTATAAAGTAAATAAATGCACCACTCTTTAGAAGCATTGATAAAAAGAAAAATACACGATAAGAAAGCGGGAATATAAGGTTGTCGTAGCATATCAGATGATTGTACTTCCAGGATAGTAGAACGTTCCGATAACCTCACCCTGAATAGTCCATAACGTTTCTGCAACAAGAATGAATGTGTAATGCAAACGATGTAAGCAAACACTGAAGTGATAGCATCAGTGTTGCTTAAAAATATGAAAATTGAAACTGAAAATAAAAGAATTAAGATAGGATAGTTTTCAATTAAGATAATGTTTTAAATAAGCTTCAATATCATGAACTTTTGAACATTTTTATATATTGTTGTTAGTAGTCAATTGATTTACTGCTCAGGATATCAAATGGTATATGGTGCGGTACCATTTAATCCATATGCTCATCTATCATGCCCTTCTGGCACTACAAATACTGCACCAACCTTTGGCTATTCTCCGATACATCCAATAACACCGATGGGAATGTTTACCAATAGTTATTCAAACGGTTAGTCTGATTTCATTTTGATTACTTTCAAAAATTTTCCTACTTAAAATCAACAAATCGATTTCAGCTTTTTCCATTTCAGGAATGATTCCTCGGAAAAATCGAAGAGAAAGAACAACTTTTAACAGACAGCAACTGGAGATTCTGGAAAATTTCTTTGCTACAACGCATTATCCGGATGTATTTACTCGAGAAAAAATTGCTGAACAAATACAATTGCAAGAAAGTCGAATTCAGGTTTTTATTTCCTTTTCTCCATTTACGCATTACTTTTATGTGTTTGTTTATTAATAGTTAAATGAGGTCCGTTACTTTTCAAAGACGAAAGCGGAATCTTTGTTAAAATAATGAAACTGAATGACTTTTTATCCAAAAGTCACCGAAAATAAGGACGGAAACAAACGGAATAGCTACTTTCTGGCGAGCATCTGCCATACTTAGCAAACACTCTTTTCGTGAACTTTGTCAAATACAGCAACAGCTAACACAATGATATGGCAAAAATAATATGGGAGAAATTTTAGATGCGGGTAAGGGACACAAGCGATATTTTGATTTGATACAGGTTTCCTTCTGTAAAGAGTACTGTAATGATGTTTTAATCATAATAAGTTCGCAAATAAGAGATTCTACTGCACTTTCATTTCCAATTGTTAAGTTGTGATTTATCTTTTTGATATAATTCCAAATACACCAGATTAAATAATTAGTTTCGAAGCTTAAAGCATCTAATCTCTTCTGATTCCTTATTTCGGCTGTAAAATTAAGAAAAATGTTAAGACTTTGATTTTGAGCAACAAAGCCATAATAAATTCATGAAGAATGCCTTCGGCCAAATCAAGAAATTAATTAATTAATTGAGTTTGGAGCTGATGTTGTAGGTTAGTATGCGGTCAGTATCGATATGCTACCTTTTGTATTACAATCCAGGTGTGGTTTAAGAATCGGCGTGCTAAACAACGACAGCAGGAGAGGCAAAGGCCAAAAGGAATACAGGCAGTTACCGATGCTAGCTCATCTTCATGTGGTACTACGAATACTGTTCGCCTGGATAGTGTTGATACAGGTTCTATGAATAACCCAATGAAGGAAGTTTCAGATGCGACGAAGGAGCCCATAGTGTCACCAAAATCCATAGGACAATTTGCCAGTGAGCCTGAAACTAAGTAAGCAGTAACACAGTTGCTGGCATTGCATCAGCTTGTGAAATATCACAAAAATTTCTAGTTGGAACATATTTTTTAAGGAGGTAGTTATTGTTTGATTTTAGGTTCTTCTAACTGCTACTGTTTCTTGGCATTTGTTTAGCATTTTCATTGACAAAACATTTGTATTTTCAGCTCGAAGAATTCCAAAAGCGTAGCTGGTAATTTAAGAAATCCAATAAAGGCGGAAAAGGTTGAAGACAGGGAACGAGCTTCATGTTCCACTAATCGTTCATTATCAAGGAGTTCTGAGGTGACCGAAAACTTATGGTCAGGTTGCATAGAAAATCCGGTAATAAAAAGGATTATCAAGATCAGTATTTATGGCTGCTTGCTATCCCGTCGACTATCTATCTAGTTTAGATGGAAATGGATGCAAAGGATGAGAAATTTTTGATTTTAAAAATTGTGTCAAAAAAGCCACGAAAATTTGCGTTAACAAAGGCAATATCAGTATATCACAAAGCAACTCATCCATGCAATCCTGACTAATTAGATTATTTTCTTGTATTGTAAAATATCGTATGGTATCAGTTGTAGATTTCATATCAACTAATTAGTTTAAACCATACTTTTTATTTCTATAGCGACTTCTTTTTAACCCTACCTATGAACCTTTGCTGTTTGCAGACATTTCCGACAACATCAGTTACAGTTTCATCATTATCAACCACCTCGACAACGTCATTATCACTGCGTCAAATGACACTTCCACCGCCTTATCCACATCCTCAAGATTTAAATTCATATTTCTACAGCAGTCATCAATATTATCAACAAATGCTAGATAGCGGTGCTGCAGCAGCATATAACAATACCTATAACAGCTATCAGGCCGCTACTGCAGCCACCGTTTACAATCAAAATTGTCCAGTACCCGCCTATTCCGCACATCAATACTTTTTTGGACCCAGATAGCCAAATGTTCCATATTGTCGACGAACGGAAATGGCTCCAAAAGGAAGAGCGAAAAATCTAACTTTTTTTCTTCTGGAAACATCACAAAATCCCTCACTATACACTTTTTGAGTCATAACTTCTCTCAATTCCTGTTACCAGCTTGTTATCTGCTATATCTTAGTGCAATGGGGATTTATTCACAAGTTTTATCTATTAATAACTAAGAAAACAATGCACTTTGTTGCGCAAAATGGCGCATTTCAGCCAAGTTGTATTGTTTCCTTAACTTAAAGCTTTTTAATTAAAGTAACTCTTTCCTTCCCTTCATCTGCGATCGACTTAATTTTACAATCAGCAGCTAAAATCTTCTATTTTTACACGAAAAGGACATTTTGAGCAAAATTGAATGACATTTGCGAAACAAGCATAAATTATGCAGACTTTAGATGGTTTACGGAGACTGAACTGAGATTTCTTATTGGAGAATTCTTGTTCTTCGGAATGTCCGTAAATCATCGAAGAATTCTTGATTTTCGGGATGTCAGCAAATCATTTTATTTGTTATTATGACACGGTTTGTACGGATTAATGTAGGAATTGTTTAGGTACTGAATAGCATTTATAGCTTTTTTTTTTCTGGCGCAATTAGCGTATGTAATGTAATACTTATCAGTCATTTGTTTTGATGGCTATCGTTCCTATGTGTACATTTATTTCACAGTAATGCCATTGATTCCTTCCGTGATACTTTCAAGTCAAACTGCCCTTCAACTTCAATTAAAAATAAATGATCAAAATGACCTCTCATTCATTACAACTCATTGATGGATATTTTGCTTAATGCACTAATTAATTGGACGCTAAAATTTAATAATGTATTTAGCAGTATAACATGTATACAGAAACCAGAATTCTACGAATTTTTCAAATAATGGTTTCTTATTGAAGCTTTGTCTCCCTCGCCTTTGAGACCAACTTAGGTACTCTTTGCTACAGAATCAGATGTGACAGGGTAATACGAGGTCAAGAGGAAATATAATTCACAAGCTTGCGACACATTTTAAGTCATCTCTGTCCACTCAAATTATGAGTGAATGAATGAATGAATTAATTGCAATAGTTCTGCTAACAAAGTTATTCTGGCCAAGTATTCCTCTTCGGAAAGTACCATTCACCTTGGAAACTAGAACACTTGGCCACAATTGTTTTGATGCTTTGCTAGTTGGAAATTGCACCGTGCGGTTTTTAGTATCTGCAAGATTTTCTCGCACATGTAGCAGTGCAAGCTGCACGCATTTCACGTACTCTGTGGCCATGTCCGGAAATTCTTCACTTCTATAATTCGAATGACAAAGCTTTCGTTCGGTTTACAGGCAGTTTTTTCATTCAACTGCTGTTGAATAAGAACCACTTGTGAGTAATACAGTACAGTAATAAACCTTTTGAAAAATTGATGATTAGGACATAATGTCAACTGACGACAGCAGCAATTGACAACAATCTTTGACCCTTCCATTAAAAGAAATAACCAAATGGTGTTCAACTTGAGGGTCTGGGATACTTGATGAGAAGGGAAACTGCAGTAGTGAAGATGGGACGAGAAATTGACCTTGACTGGTGACATCCCCACTTATGAGATGTACTGAGAGAATGAATTAGCAGTAAGATAATGTCTCAGAAATTTAGGGAAACAAGCTTGCCATATATGTTAACACTACCAAGTGCACACGTATCACATATGTCAGCATTGTCACAGTGTGGTATCATACTCTTCCCACACAGTGGATTACTTACCAGAGAGATCCCCCATTCCTCATTTTCCCATCAGTTTTCATGCGAATTTCAGAAAGATATTCCTTGGTACCTGAAAAGGCGCATGTTTCCACAATTTCATGCGTCTGCGAAGTTTGTTGGAAGCGTAGTGACATCAGGGAGGAAAGAAAAAGAGAATGAGAGAAAGAGTAAGCAGGTGTTGGTGCGGGCAGAGAAGCAAAGAGAGATAGCAATTTGCAAAGAGAGTATCCCGTCGGGAATGGCGAGCAGGAAAACATGATGGTAAGTTTGTGGTTGTTGATTAAACTTACTTGGCTGGGAGGTGACTCGCGATCACGAAGGCGAGTACTCCACGGTGAGGTCGGCCCATTGCACTCACGGGCAGTGACTGACCCGTGTGGCAGTCTCGAGTTGGGACTCGCCAACAGCATAATTTTTGCGTTTGGGGACAGACAGTAGTGCCGTTCCCCGCCGCCACTTACAGGTGGGTTGGGAGGGGGAAAGCCGAGGCGCAGCGAGACGACAAATTGTTCCCTTACCTTAACTAAGTATAGGTGACTCGATGTCTGCTATTGTCTGGTCTACGAAATGTATGCTATTTCGAGGGGCGGTGCTGGGCCGCATTTCCTCGGTTCACGCAGCTGGCTTTCCTCATGTCCGGAATTATGATAGACAAAGAAAGATATCTTCCATCATCCTAGACATCGAAGAATTAGAATTTGGGAGCCGAGATTTGAAAACCAATACAGAACATGGCAAATGTCAACCTGGAATCTGATCAAACTCAAACTGAGCAAGTGACACCACTAATAAATTTAAGATTCCAAATAACACATTAAGCACTTGAGCACACTGAGCAACCAGCAATTTATAACACCTCTTACAGAAATGAATTTGAACCAAATATCTGGTTGTGGTATCACTTCAAACAACATAGTTTAACAGCTGAAGAGAAGTAGAATTTGATATATTACAGCTTTAATACAAACAAATATTCTCAGGATTAAATTAACAATAAAATTATTCACTAGTCAATATGTTTTAAAAACCGCCAAGTTTTCTTAAAAGACATGTGAATTGGAGCGCACTCTTTGTACTGGCAACATCACATAAATTTATGAGCGGCAGAAAGAGATCCAAATTGAAAGTCTGCGGATCAAGACGAGCCAAGTTTACCATCTAAAATAGAAATGTTTGAGTAATAATTTACAAAAAACGCGAATAAAATAATTCAAAGCAGCATGCCTTAATTTCCAAATCTTTACTTCAAATCCAAATTTACAAACCAGATCATGCGGAAGAAGTTCGATTATTCTTCGGGTAGCTGCATTCTGTGGTGCAGTAGAAAGCGATACCACAAAATGGTATATAAATGTGATTGTACTCTGTAACGAATAACGAATAATTCTGTTTTTCAAATTATTTATAATGTACGTCAAACAAAGATATGTATAGATTGTGAATACGAAGAAATCAAGAAGTACCCCCAAAAGACTGCGAGAATTATTGTCAAAACACTTATTGAAAATTCTGCCTTCTCAATTAAGATGAAGCATTGAAATTTTTCAGTTCTTCCGAGATAAAAATGACCCTCGGTCGACCATCATTATAGAGCAGTTTCTTCGTAGTTTTTGGATGCTGATTTTGTAAAAATTTCTGCATTTTTGTGCTCGGAAAAACTTGCATCAAAACTGTATCAATCAAATTCACCTTCAGATGTCCAGCTCTAGTTTCACGAACAAATTTTTCAAAAATCACTAAAACAGAACGTTCCACAGGATTTCCCTCATCGGTTTCGCCATCGTCATCACCATCACCTTAAAAAATAAAAGTGATACCTAACTTTAAAGAACAACCTTGAAAATCTCAAAATCTATAGAAAATACAGATTTGGGTAAAATTGAATGCAAGTCCTATGACAAAGCACAAACTTCTTTTCCTTTCTACACACTCTCCTCTCACAATTCGTGTTTGTCGTTCTTTCTGCTGTCTCCAGTACGCGTGCATGGCAAGTTGTAAGCAATGCACAAGGAATCGTGCAGACACCAATGCTTTTGGCTCCACGCAACCTAAAGATTATGAAAATGAGCAATAAATTCAGGAAGAACTAAAAATTAAATTTTGGTCAATATGTAGATTCGAGAAGCAAAACCCCCCACCAAAATCTACGTTCTGCTCAAAGATGTACTCAGTGATGCTGCGAGCAAAACTGAGCATACAGGGCACCGGTGACATAATACCAGCAGCAAGGCACAATTCACTAGCACATAACATTTCGTCATTTGTCGACAACTTTAGCATCGCATTTAACCAAACCTGAATAAGCCAAAATTTGCATCGTTGTATTGCAGGAATCATAAAAGAAATAATTTGTGAATATAAAAACAGAAAAAAGTTATGAAAGTCATCAAAACTATCATGCGATCAGTTATCAAATTTTCCGGAGTAATGCAATATTCACTGATCATGCATGGATTTAGACAAAAGTTACTGTGCCCATAAATAATAATGACTACAAGCGTTAAAATGTAAACTCATGACAATAATGTAACAACTAAAAATGGCTGAATTTCATCTGCTTGGAAAAATAAAGGATATATTCCTATTTTTGGATTTATTTCCTAAATTTCTGGTTAGCTAAAATGAAAATACCTACCATGCACCAATTCTCAACAACACCAGCCTTGTTACATCTGTCGACGAGTTGCAAAACATTGGGAGATCCCCAGGCTTGCTGTCGAGCGTAAGTAAATGCTTGTTTTAACATTTCTGCATCCGATGACTGTATATGATATGTTTACGCAAAATGCAAATTTTAAGCAATTTATGTACAATGATCAAAATCAGGGTAAGGAGAAAACAAAAAACCTGAGCGTTCGTAGCGGGTAATGTAAATGGCACAGTGGGCAGTTTTCTCTTCGCACAGTTTATGATCCATGTAAATCTCGGGTCACGCAAGCGATCACAAATGGAAAGATCATCTAATGTACGGCGACAAGTAGCTGACGTTAACACCATGCTTGAATAGCTTGTAATGTAATTTTAACAAAATTTCGTATTTTTACTAAATTACAAACCGTCAAACTCAAAAACTTAAAACAAATACCATAACTGTTTCAAACAGAACTAACAGTACCGTTCTTGTTGTGTGTGATTCAGTTGGTGTGGATATTCGAGAGCTCGAATAAAAGACTTCACTAGACTCTGGCGTGAACTGGTTACAGGTTGTGAACACATCCACTGGACCAAGCAAACGATCATAAAATTAGCATCATCTCGAAAAGCGTGCAGAACATTCTGTAATTTTTTAGAAATTTTATATACCGAAAATGACAAAAGATAATATAATGATCCTTTATTGGTTAAGTAAATGTTACATGGTGTTAAAACGCTTGATCCAGTACGGTCACCGAATACATATATTTAGAATATTCGCTCAATACCTCAAGTTTCAGTTCAGTCCATCAAAATCCATAAAATCTTTTTTAAGTTCAATGATTAGATCGCCGAAAAAAGTTCACAAACTAGAATACCACTATCGCACATGGCTCGCAGTCAGTAGCTTAGCTATTAGCTTAATTTTTTCCTATTAAGTTATAACATGTACTACTCGCTTAACACAGAACCAGAATTTTCCATGTATAATAAAATATAGTTACCTTAACATTTTCATGGAGATGTTCATAGTTTTCAAATTTTGTCATCTTAAAGTCGTCCAGAAGAATCTCACCAATAATCGGTACAAAATCAACCAACTCAGCATAATTTACCCTGTAAAATGATAGAAAAATGCAAATGGATGGATGTTCTCGGATCCCAGAATGATTGTATATGTTTCAACATATTGACACGATCAACGAATGCTGCCTTTTGTTCACTAATGTAAGCATTCGATAAGCCGCAATTGTCAGCTACTGTTCAACCTTATTGCGATACAAATTTATAAAAGCATGACTGGATATCATCCATTCCAACTGTCCCATTTACCAGCTCGAAGGGATTGATATTAAGCCTTTGCCTAAAATTTCCAATTCATTAAGCATTTATGCAAATGTAGATTAATTAAAGCACTTTACATGGTTCTTTATTCAAAATAATGTCCAAAAGTTTGAACTCACGTTCTCGGATCCCAGAACGGTTGTGCACGTTTTAACGTATTGACACGATCAACGAATGCTGCCTTTTGTTCATTAGTGTAAACATTCGACAAGCCGCAACTGTCAGCTGCTGTCCAACCGTACTGTGATGCAAATTTATAAAAGCATGACTGGGTATTGTCCATTCCACGAACTGTTCCATTTACCAGCTCGCTCGGTCGCTAAAAAAAAATACTGAATTCAAAATAATAATACTGATATCATGCTTCGACGAAATCTATTAAAATCCGTATTGGAACGATATACATGAAACAATATAAATTACTAATATGTAAATTCTTTCAGATATATAATGCAAAATGAAGATTGCTGACGAGATCATCATATATGAATCGAATTCTGGTTAGTAAGATAAATGAAAGATTGAAAGCAAGGGCGCGCTGACGTTCGTCATCCATGTCCAGACCCTCTGCTGGTCGTTCACTTTGTCCGTTTATCCTATTGAAAAATAAAATGAAACTATAACTTCAAATAAAGGACATAAAAAGATCACAAAATAGTCATAATCAAAATAAAATGAAGAGCAAAATTAGTTTTAGAAAAAAGAGGAAAACTTACATCGCAAGTTTTGAACTGAAATAAGTCAGATTACCATCAGCACAAAACGAGGCACAAACAGAATCAAATGTGAAAAGCCCGCCGCTACCACTGGCAAGTTTCAAGAGAACATTTATTACAGCATTATTAGGTTGTCTCAATATCTGAAATGGATTTACTCTTTAAATACCTTTGCTCTTTTTGTTTTTTTTTTTTGCTATGTCACATAAAAGACGGATACAAGCCTTATCTACAGCCATTTTAGCAGAATTTGCTCGCAATATAAGTGGCTGATGTACAGGTGTGGTAGAAGTTTGTGCAAACATCTGGAAAAGCTCCGGCCAGTACTGAGATCTGTAAAATTCACGATGGATAAACAAGACCCATTTCAAAATTAAAATCTCTCTCGTCAAAGAAAAATTCTTTAAATCTCAAGCACGCATCGTTGTACGCAATCAACTTTTGATTCACGGCAATCATAACAGAGACTTATAAAGATATCTTGCATGCAATACTAACCATTAATAATAAAGTGTACTTTTTAAACTTTAGCACTCGATACGACCGTGAAATATTCTTATTTGTCAAATAACAAGAGTGAATACGTAAAGCTAGAGTTTAAGTTAATAAAACTGACAAAATTAGAAATCTAACGAATGGTACTTTATAAATCATTAAAACATATCATATTTTAGTTTTACTTTAAATACCTTTTTTCGAGCAAACTTTTCATAACACCCTCATCGATGACACCTGCTGTGGCCATCTGTTCTAACAGGTGTTGAAATGTATTTGTCTTCGTTTTCATATCTACCTGAGAAACATTGGTAAAAACACTGATTTTATGGCGAATAAGCAAATTTTTTCCTCAACAATTTGAGATTTCGAAGACATCCCGCATCAATAATCACCAAAATATTAGAAACGGCAAACAATAAAGTATAGGCGGCAAATAGTAACTCAGCCATTTTTCAAATGTTTACATGTCAATTAATGTTTACTGCAGAATGTAAGCTATAAAAATTTAATATAAACTGGAATTTACTTGATTCAAAAGAGTCTTGTTATCGCAAATCGTATCAAGCGCAGTAATCAAGTCGTTAAGTGGGGCACCAAGGATTAGTAGGTGTTTGACAATCTGTGGAAGTTTCACATAGTAAAATGCTTGCGATGCTACAAGCTCTTCACCCAATGATTCTTTAGCATCAAGCTGAAAAACGTTGGAATTTTTCTATATGTATATGTTTTATATATCTTCAATATAACAAAAGTCCCACAAATCAGCTTTCATAAAAATACAAACCATACCATAATCAGCAGAGATGCCCGTATCATATCCTCAAACATTTTTGGGAATGGAAATTCAAGAATTTCAGCAAGTTCAAAAAAAGAATCCGCCATTTGGTCCACTTTTTTTGTCATTCTGAACCCTTCGAAAACGGAAACTAACGTCAGGATTGCTGGATGCGACTATAAATTAATTCCCAGAAATTTCGACAAATAACAATTGAAATATCTGTGTTGATAAATTAACAACTTTTAGACGGTATACACATGTATATATATATATATATATATCTTATATATCTTCAATATAACAAAAGTCCCACAAATCAGCTTTCATAAAATACAAACCATACCATAATCAGCAGAGATGCCCATATATATATATATATATATAATATATATATGTCTTGTATATTTTTCTTATAACAACTGCACAAATTAGCTCTTTCTCTTCTAAATCAACTGATTAAATAATACCTAAATTTGTAATTTTAAATTAAAAGTGACACCTGTGGCAAAAAAAACCATGAATAGATGATATTTTCAATGACTCATAGATGCGTTACCTGTTTGACTAAGCCACCAAGATTGTCTTCGATTCGTTCTGCTGGTGAAGTGCCGAACTGTTGCAAAGCTTCAATCATCGTTTTTAACTCCCCGCAGTCAGGGTAACTCTGTGCAAATGAAACAGCAGCTTCGACAACATAATTTACACTTTCTGAAAACAGATGCATACTTTCAGTATTCATCTAAGGATGAAATAAATCGGAATAAAATGATCTAAAACGTATAAGTAAAAAGTGCAAAAGGTTTATGCTCTAAATCTTAGAACAGATGAATTAAAAATTTCTGAGTAGAGGGTGAAAGAGGAAGTTTGTAATTTAAACAAAACTAAATAATTTACCTGAGTGAAACTGAGCGGTAAATATATCTAAAAAAATGTTTTGAATAGCAATTCTACGACTAAGTGACGATTTTTTTTACTTCAAAATAGCATTAGTGGTGGACAGCAAGTGATAGATAAGGAAACGGAAAGTGAAAAACAAATGTTCTTACAAAAAAAGAGAAAGAAAATTCTGAAATTTAAAAAAATCCGCCATTTAATCACAGAATTATTATTTAAAACATTTTTTAGATTTATTTACTACTTGGCTTTGCTCAACTAGGTAAATTATTTAGTTTTGTTTAAATGATAAACTCCTTTTGTATAAAAACCATTACTTGAATGCATGGAAAGAACTGGAAAATGAATAAAAGAAGCAAAAGTAATCGAAAGATCACACTAACCTGCACCAATGTGTTCATGAATGTACAGCAAAGCACGAACAAACTTGCTATTTGCATATGCACATGCACAGTGAATAAGCGCTTGAGTGCTTCGTTTATTTTCATTTTTTAAGGAATATTCTAAAGCTAATAAGCACCAATTTAAAACAGTCATCAGTGATCCCGATAATTCCAAACATTCTTTCTCCGATGTGTAATTACATCTAGAAAATGAATAATTACCCAACTCATGAATCAAAATTGCACTGATGCATTTTTGTTGGAACATCAAAAACTAAAACATTACTTCAGCAATGGGACTGAATTTCGTAAAATCGTAGCCAGAGCTTCAATACAATATTCACGTGAAAACTGCCGAAACTCAGCGATCACTTCAATGAAAACAGCCCATCGAAGTACCTGGACATCACATATACATATAGTGGACATCAGTCAAATTTAATAAGCTAAATTGAATACAAGTGATCGATCCTTAATTTCTGTCGTTTTCCCTGATGAGGAAAATCTTTTTTTCTAATAAATTATTCAAAAATTTAAAAAAGTCAAGGAACAAAAAACCACTAACGGCAAAATTTAATAATCTAATGAAACAGTCAAGAAAACTAAGGAACAGTTTAAAGATCAAAAACAAAATAGTAATACCTCTGCTTTTACCAAGGCTTCCAGACAGGAAAGCATTCGTTGATCAGGTGTTACCGATGCCGTAGCAAAACGAAGAAGCATAGCTAAATTTGTCAACCACAACAAATGACATGCAATAAATTCTTAATATGATACAATAGATTCTTAATATATAATTATTTTGCGTTATTTTATTCAGGATGACACCAATATTATCAGATATATTAATATTAATATTTTTAAAAAACTCAGCGTTTTGTGTCAGTTTGACCAGATGTATTGCATATACATACATTTATGCACGTTTGTTTACTCACGTCTACCTACAAGTATGCTTGCTTATTAACTGATATCACATAATATATCATTAAAAATTTACAAGCGATGGCTCTGCAATGCTGTTCATTGCAACCGGACATTATTATGCGTTTTTTCAAGAAAGCACCGAATTCAATCGATGAAAGTCCTTCGGCATGAGTACGGGTTACTAGACTCGTTACCCAGCCTATATCCGTCTGCTGCTTCTCCTCATTTATCACTCCCATTGACGCATACAACCTGGAACTCAACTGATTTTAATATCATTTACTTGTGTTTTCGATAAATTCTAGACTAGAAGCAAAGAAAGAACACCATTTCTGATGTGCCTAGAAACCCTTTAATAAACACGTGAGGCCTGGCCATTATAGCCAAAAAGTACTGCATGCAGAAAGCTTAGCGACTCCTAACTCCAACCACTTTACATTACATGCTGCTTATATGACCAATAAAATAATTTTATGCTTCATTACTCTGCAACATTTGTCGCTTTACCTAACTTCTCACTCCCCACACTCCCCTTTGACCTTTCACTCCGCAACTTGCTCCCAAACGATCCACCTTCAATTTCCTAGCAACGAGTGATGCAACGAAGATGCTATGAAAAAAACTGGTTTCACTTTGAATCTTCAGTGGATTTATCTTGGAGGATTTACTTCAATAAGAAGAAGAACGCGGAGATCTCAGATAACTAGAAGCTGTCAGGTCAAGGATAACATGTAGTTGCTGTAATAAATGGGTGAAAGCAGAAGAAATTTAAGTGCAGAAGTTTTTTGCCCACAAAACCCCATAGATTCATTCGGAGGTTAATTGGATGTGAATCAAATTTCAAATTAAATGATAAGATTCAAATCAATGAAGGTAACAAATAGATAGACTTTCAGGATATTTATTTCAAGGATTTGCTCTCTTTATCAGTTTCTTCCACACTTTTTCCGGCCTTTCCTTTTCTTTCCTTGTTCATCGATAACAGGCGGAAACAGTCTTAAGACTGTTTGACATCAAATGTCATTTGTTTAACATCGATTCTTCTCAAAGATAAATTTTGGTGACTGTGTCTCCTAAGTTGATTGTTTCACCTAACTATCTAAGATTTCCTGGGAAAGCGTAACTTCATGCAATATGCTGCTCGAGAATTACGATTTTTCTCGACCATTTCCAGAAAGGAACAAGCAGTTCAGGGAAATCGGAAGAAGAAAGTCTGTTTACTTTCAGGATTTAGTCAGAAAACAGTGTTTACTTTACCGCTGCATGAATCAAGAGTTAGTTGCGTTCAGTGAAAATAGAAAAGGGAAGTTACATGAGACTTGGTGTAAGGTAGAAATATTACGCCACATTTCCTGTGTACTGTCCTCGAGAATCCGTTTTGTTTCCGTGGTTGTTGCACCGAATTCCGGAAATCATCCTTGCGTCATGTATTATCGAAACACTTTAGCTATAGCTATTTAGATCTTTAAGGAATCGTCAACTAACATGCCACTACTCATTGCAATCTGTTCCATTTCAAAAATTGATAACACTTAATACTATTTAAAGGTACTTAGTTACATCATTCAAACAAAAGAGAAAAAAGGTGTGAAAGTCAGGAATCACATCTTTAAATAAACTTAAAACCCCCGTAATTTAGAACGACACTTCTTTGCTCTAATTAGTGTTGATGAGGTCACATGCCGACGCCACTGAATCCTCCCAGTCGGTCACTAAGGAAAATTCCAAAAATGAAGATTTGCCTTCGGAAGTGCGCTACAGTAATCGGCAACTTCACACAGCGATTAATTACGGATAATCTAATTAAGCGACGGCTAGTCGTGGATCGAACTATTATTTCTTTTTCAAATCTGAGAATCATTTTTTTAATTGATTGACCCGTCAGTCAGGATTAACAAATATGTGGTCATTTTCGCTTCTTCGTTCATTCTGTAAACTTCTGGATGTCTAGAGGAATGCATTTTCTATTTTGCTCTTCACCACAATGACGCCAAGCACTGTTCATATCGATTTACTTTTATTTACTCCATGCTTTTATCAATTCAAACTTCCTCCTCAGTTCCATACTTTTTATTTGCTAATAATCTTTACATCATTGCCTGATGTCCTATAAATCAATCTGGATCATGGATCATCAGATATCTCTATACTCATAGAGTTAATTGTAAGTAACGACCGCTTTCGTACATCATGCAAATTATATTCTAACTTTTCAATTATGGAACAACTTTTTTTCTGTAAGGAGAATCAGTGTGAGAAGCAGCATGGTATGTTTATTGATAAGCCCAGTTAAAATCAATTTTTTCAATTGGTTGAAAGTATTAATTTATTTGTAGGTGATTTGAGTGCCGTATATTTATATTCCAATATATTCCCGCTGTCTCCGAATTTCATTTAGAATTCTGATATTTTTCAAACAGCTGAATCTGAGCACTTTTTCCGTGTAGCAGATTAAGTTATCGATTACCGTCATCGCAAAGCTCCCATTCATCCTGAGATTTATATCCTGCATCTATTTACTTTCCAGCAGCCTAATAATTTGTGTCAAAAAAGGTACGGTGTCCTGTAAGCAGTTGCAGGACTTGCATAACGAATTCATAACGAATGCCACCTGCAGCCATTTTTCGAGGCCATGAAATTTGAGATGGAACAGGATAATCTCAAAATTGTTAGCCACCAAGGATATTTTTCCATCTCGTTTCCATCTCTCCTCTTCAGCACAATTTCTCATCAAGATTTTCCAGCTGGAAAAGAGCATTAGAATGATAGTAAGGTCAGAATTCCAATAGAAACAGATTTTTTGGCATTCATTTGCTTCGAGTTCAAAAATTTAATAAATTTCCGTTCCAAAAAAATTTGAAACGTATCATAATGCACATTGTAGTAACTTCCGAGATTTATTAATAGTCTCGAAGACTTTCACTTTTTACAATTCTCGAAAATGTCATCCGTGCAATGTCTTCTTTGCGAAAGTATTACCATCACAGTGTTTTTCTGAGATTTCAGTGGTATAAATCTTTTATCTTTTTTGCCATCCTACAGTACAATTTTTGTCATTTGTCGAAAGCGTCAAATTGACAGTGACCACTAAAAAAGGTGTGAGCAATTATCAATTTTCGATTATAGACGCATCCATCCATCGATCTGAGATCCACGATATTGATAGGGATTCATTTTGCTCCCAAAATTACCTTCTCTTTAACTACGACTGTTCGAAGAGGCGGACTATTGATATTACACCTGCCTTTATGCCATTTGCTAACATCAAAGACATCCCTGTCTCAATCAACTTGCACCTTTTATAGATACTAGTGCAAATTATTCGGACCAATTAAGAGTTTCTTAATTTTGCTGCAGCCGGATTATCCCACTAATTTACCTTCTCATGTCGCTCAGGAATGTTGCTTTGATACGATCAAAAATAACGGAAACGTGTATGATACATTTGATATTCACTTTGACAATCGAAATTCATGATGAAAACGATCATTTAATGATCACTTAAACGAGTGTACGGGATTCAATCAGATTTGCAATTCCATAATAATTTAAAACTTTTGAAAATAGTTCCAGTTCTGGATGATCAATTTATCAGGCTGCATACTTCACTAACTTGAAAACATAGTCAGAAATATGGGACGTCTCTCTAATTTTTTTGTTTTATCTCATTGTTTCTTTCCTTATCTTCTTTTTGCTTTTCTTCTTTTCCCTTTCTTACAGCAAGTTTAAATTCTTTGATTTCTTCTTGCTACAGCAAATATTGCTAGCCAACTATTACTTTTCTTTTGTAGTTTTAAGTATGAACATTTGAGATAAATTCAAGATTCGTTAATTTAGCTTAAACTTTGTTTTGAGTTGTTAATCAATCAAAACAATTACTTCGAAAATGTATTTATCAGTCTTCAGTATAGTTAAAAGAGTAAAAAGTAGATTTAACAGAACATCAAATTCGGCAGATTTTAACAATATTATCCTATTCCTCATCTCAAACTATAATGTTAAGATGACTATATAAAAGTTCTGTTTCCTGGATAGCCTATCTACTCACATTTAACGTAAATAAAGGTCAATTCGCCGTTCAGTGACGTGTAAACGGATATGGATGCCGCTGATATGCTCTGCGGGGGTACCTTATACCAACCATTGTTTCCCAACAGGTGAAACCCGCAATCATCCAGTACTAACAGCTACTCCTTTAAAGAAAATGAAGAAAATAACTAGTACCTTAATACCTACTGTCATTCTACCAAAGTATTAATCCTTTCCGTTATACCATCAATCATCATCATATCAGCAGATAAGCCCTGTTTACTGTATTACGTAAGTAATGACGAATCGTAAATAAATTATATTGATTTAAGGTAACATGATGAAACCAAAATAATTGCATGTTATCATAAATTATTTTGGAATTAGAATTTTCGCGAAGTAATTAATTGTGACACTGAGGAATTGATTAATTAGAAAAGGTAGAGCAGAGACCTTCTTTTTGGGCTCCTAAATTGTTGATATTTTACCTATTTCCATAATGTCTCAGTTAGGCTTTATCTGAATTACAAAAATTAATCGAAAAGTAAATTTCAATCGTATCATTTCTTTGAATAATAACAAAATTATCTAGAAAGAAGAAATTTAATTCG